ACGCCCACACATCATCTGACACATGTAATCATCACACCACGCCCACACATCATCTGACACATGTAACATCACACCACGCCCACACGTCATCTGACACATGTAATCATCACATCACCCACCGCCCACACATCATCTGACACATGTAATCATCACACCACGCCCACACACCATCTGACACATGTAATCATCACACCACGCCCACACACCATCTGACATATGTAATCATCACACCACGCCACACACCATCTGATGTAATCATCACACCACGCCCACATCCTCTGACATGTAATCATCATCATGACACATGTAATCATCACACCACGCCCACTCATCCTCTGACACATGTAATCATCACACCACGCCCACTCATCCTCTGACACATGACATCACCACATCACGCTGTCTAAAAAGGCGCTAATCCAAACCAACTCACTTACACTCGCTTACTACTGGCTCTTTCATCACTCAGTATATTTATGTCTATATTTAGTTTAGTTATGCACGTTTCCCTGATGGGTGCCATATCGCAAACTCACTGAACAAGACTCCATATTTCAACGACTCACAGATTGTCCACGGAAAACTATCATTACAATCACGGACAAGGTCTGTGACCTGCTTGGCAAGCGATCTTAGTATATAACTGTCGTAAGTCTCTCTTTAGCCATGGAATATTGTATTGCCACGCATATAGTACCCATTCAGCACAGATACCGGGGATACCCGGCTCGACGGAATGTTATGAGGGCAAACCCTGGCGGAATTTCTGCTCAGCGCTGCTTACCTGGGTTACGCAAACATTTTCTTCGCGCTTTATTAATTATGAATGTACACTAAATAATGACTGAGCTGCGCTGAGTCGACTACAGTTTTACCATCACTGAAATACCCTCAGGGCACCCATGTATACATTAACGTCACGATATCTATAATATGCAATGGGTGACTTGTATTAATAACTCAAACACGTCCTTCTGAAATATGGACACCTAATCGGACAAGACCTATATTACAAATCAGCCTTGACCTTCCCGAGTAATGGCTACATTAATCCATAATGGTTCATTAAATTACTAATGCGGCAATAAAATAGACTGGACAAAGCTTGAATAAAATAGACTTGCTTGACAAAGCTTCAGTCCTGCAATGTTTGACACAAAACGTAATGACATATCAGTCCAGTATCAGGTGTTGAGTATATATCAATGCATTGCTTGAGTTGATAAAAAGCACATCGACTCGGAGTCATGCTCACATCTCCCCTCACCGACTCCAGTCCTGCAAACCGACCTTAAGAATGATCAGCCGTTCACCTCCTTGACTCCAGTTGATCAGCCGTGTTTCTTCGCCGAGCACATCTCTCCTTCGCCGACTTCAGTTGATCAGCCATGTTGAGCACCTCCGTCAGTTGATCAGCCGTGTTGAGCCATCATCTCCCTTCAACGACTCCAGTTGATCAGCCATGTTGAGCACCTCCCCTTCACAGTTGATCAGCCAGCCGTCAGTTGATCAGCCGTGTTGAGCACATCTCTCCCGACTTAAGTTCACCGACTCCAGTTGATCAGCCGATGTTGAGCACATCTCCACATCTTCACTTGATCAGTTGATCAGCCGTGTTGAGCACATTCCTTCACCAGCCATGACATCTCCTTCAGTTGATCAGCCATGTTCAGAACATCTCCTTCACCGACTCTGGTTGATCAGCTGTGTTGAGCACACCTTTCCGACAATTGATCAGCCATGTGAATATCATTGTTATCCTTGCATCCTTTATGAACCGCGAACGTCTATCAAATCTCATCCTAAACTCGTGTTCGCCGTCTTCTGGTCCAGCCAAAGTCTCCCTCAGCCGACTGTCATTGCGGTCCTTGTTTTTTTACCAGTATATAAGTAAACATGCCCCACCAGCGCCCCGGGGCCGTCAGCGAGTAATTAGCACACATCCCACGCCAGCTGATAACCTTATTGTACCGTTATGTCGGAGAAACAGGTGGCAGTGTAACCTCGTTGTTTGTCCTTGGGATTTTCGAGAATGATAGTAATACTTTCTTTTCTTAAAATTCACAGATGAAGTTATGATTTGTTTTAATTTAGACTAACAAGATCTTAAATATCCCCGCTTCTCAAAAACCCCGAAATCTACTTGCTTCAAACTTATTAAGTGATAATGAGTTTGGCCTAAAGTGGTGCTCTTCACTAACGTTTAACCCTTTGGTAAAACCTAAGATTATTATTGTAATTCCAGCAAAACTGCAAACATTCTTGGATTCAAAGCCACCATCATTATATCCTCTCAGGCCTAAGGGACGTAAATCTGTACAACGAACTGCGACCCCTCGGGGTGACTTCTAATGAAGATACGTAGGATCAGAATATTTGAATTTGATTCCTGGAAGTGAAATTGTCAGTTATTTGTGAAACAGATAATCGAAAACAAAATCTTCAGTACATGTAATCCTCGCATAATCGGATTCCTTCTGAATGTTTAAAAATTCAGCTTTTATGTCCTCAAACCGAAAAAGAAATACATTGTTTTCGATCCAGTACGCAAAATAAGTTCTTCAAGCACAGAGACAATTATCTAAAAAAATTAAAAATAAGATCAAAGTGGTGTTACATGTTTCAGTTTGTTATACTAATGATATAATACCGAAATACACTACATACACCTGAGGCTTAACATAAGAATAATTTCAGATGTGTAATATGAGTAATTATTCTATCAGAAACCACAAAAGCGCCTGCATGCAGGCCGATAGCGAGGCACACTTACCCCAGCTGCACACCACAAGACAGCTAATTGAATATGCCTGGTATGGTTCTTAGCCTCACCTACATGCGTGCTGATCAGCGTGCCTTACAAGACAGAAATGCCTTGACAGGGTTATTCTGTCTCACAGTCCCTGAACCACATTATTTTCCTTAATGTATAGCCCTCCCTGCAATGCCAAAGCCTTAAGACCGCCTCCGTGGTCTAGTGGTTAGAGCGTCCGCCCGGAGAGCGGAAGGTCGCGGGGTCGATCCCCGACCGCGTCATACCAAAAGACGTTAAAATATGGTACTTGTTGGTCCCTGCCTGGCGTTCGGCATTAATGGGTACAACAAGGACTGGTCGGCTCGGAGTCAGTATACTGTGTCTGAGTGGGGTATTCATGTTTCACTACAGCATGGTATCTCAGTGGGCTAGCACTATAAAACCAGCTTCAATCTGGGCTAGTACAAGCAGCCGCACATGCACGTCGTCATATGAGCGAAATATTCTCAAGCACGACGTTAAACCCAATTCCACCACCACCACCAAAGCCTTAAATGAAGCAATTCTAGATTTCCCTGAATCTCCCAACTCACTGGGACTCCTTTTCAATTTCAACGGGTTTGTTTGTTACAATCAAAATTATATATATTCAGGGACTAAGCTTCAGTCTATGACAGGGTGAGTGAATATGGTTTTACGTCGCACTAGAAATATTCAGACAAATTCAGTCATTAAAGAAGTCGTAGGTTAACTAACGCCTCCTTGAACAGTATTCAGACTATACTTCGGCGTTTGAGTTTGATGTGGGAATAGCCTGAAGTGATGCAGGTCTTAGGAGTTATCACATGATGAAACATACGATCATCGGATCCTGACTCGACTAAGGGAGGTAACACTCTAAAGCGAGGTGTGACACCTTATGTAACTTGGAAGTTTAACACCGAGTCCAGCAATAATGTTATGTAAGTGTATATAAGAATAAATATTTAAACGAATCCTGGGGGATTTTTCAATTTCAGCTAAGGAGTGGGTGAGTTAGAATTGATCTTCAGTAACCCATGCTTCTCGTAAGAGGCGACTAACAGGATCGGGAGGTCAGGCTCGCTGATTTGGTTGACACATATCATCGTATCCCAATGCGTAGGTCGATGCTCATGCTGTTGATCACTGGATTGTCTGGTCCAGACTCGATTATTTACAGACCGAAGCCATATATCTGGAATATTGCTGAGTGAGGCGTAAAACTAAACTCACTCACTCTCAAGTCGTAATAATTTCTTTAAAAACGCTGCTTATTTGCTGAATAAATTATGACTTCAAGCAGTGTCACTAAACCCGCTTGTATCACTGTCGCAAGTGACATAACCCCTAATAATCATCGGATACCAATTTGACGTCATGAGTTCCTCAGGATATATATATACACACGATAAGAGTGTAACGTACTATTGTAAGAGCCTACTTCGAACTATATTACAACCTAAATGATTCACACTACGAGAAATGTCATAGTGACTTCATTGCGCTGGAGTAGAGTATATGCTGTAACTCTTCGTGAGTTTAAGATCACATATAAAATCCTTTGTCGGACATACAAATGTCAGAGTGACATGGCACCATCTCGTGACTGCCCTGAACTAACCGTTAAACAAAACATAAGAAAATCCTATTATCATCATCGTCGTCATCGTTGTTGTCATCGTTTTTGTTTCATTGTCGCCGTTGTCGTCGTCATCATCACCATGATCACTATTATTTTTAGTAGTCGTAGGATACTAGTGTCAGTATCATCATCAATAACCATAATAACGCTGATCATCATCATCATGATCACCACCACCACCATCATCATCATCATCATCATCATTTTGCTCACCCGAATCTTGAATATGCACAATTTTTAGGACCACTACGTACACAAACACCATCCCCAGTAGTCTGTCTCACAGTCCCTGAACCACATTATTTCCTCTACTGCCTAGCCCTCCCTGCAATGCTGAAGCTCTAAATGAAGCAAGTCTAGATTTCCCAGGTTCTGAATCTCCCAGCTCACTGGGGCGCCTTTTCAATTTAAATGGGTTTATTTGTTACTACCAATATTATACATATTCAGGGACTGAGCGTTAGTCTACATCCCCAGCTGCAGTAAGGATACATAATACATGAACCAATGACAGGGAAGCTCGATGAAAGTGACCCATTATATCGCGCCTTGTCGCGTTGTGACACAACAACATAGTTAACCGAGCACTGGTATGGTCCAATCGAACACGCCCCAGACATCCAGCGTTATGCGACACGCGTGACAGCGACAGAGCTGTTCTTGCACAGACTTAACTTGCCGCTTGCAGCACGGTTTTGGAGTAAGGTAGGTGCTCGCTTACAGTTTCCATTCAAAATATTATCACATGACAAATAGTTTTGAGCAGGTGAACAGCGAATGCAATCTACGCTCTCATACGTTTGACGATATATAAGAACAAATGACTACTCTGTCGCTGTGTTGTTTATACGAACATGTGTTGAAATATGTCATTTCATTTACTTGGAGAGAGAGTGATTCTCGGGTACACTGTCCATTTAATGTTATATAAACATTAGTCAGTAATGATCATGATTTCATCAAGGGTTCAACCGTGTTATGACGAAGCCACTGTCCATTTAATGTTGCATAAACATCTGTCAGTAATGATTAGAAACGATGATTAAAGTAATCTGTTAAAATTCCAATTCCAAACACTTTGGAATATTAATTGCGTGATATCATAACAAACAAGCAGGAAACGGTACGTTTAATTTCCTGTTGATTACTCTGAATCATCCTCAGTACATAGTTCATACAATACTGTCACTGTAATCACGGAAACAACCGCCTCCGTGGTGTAGTGGTTAGAGCGTCCGCCCGGAGAGCGGAAGGTCGCGGGTTCGATCCCCGACCGCGTCATACCAAAAGACGTTAAAATATGGTACTTGTTGGTCCCTGCCTGGCGTTCGGCATTAATGGGTACAACAAGGACTGGTCAGCTCGGAGTCAGTATAATGTGTCTGAGTGGGGTATTCATGCTTCACTGCGGCATGGTATCTCAGTGGGCTAGCACTATAAAACCAGCTTAAGTCTGGGCTAGTACAAGCAGCCGCACATACACATACACACGCATGCACGTCGTCATATGAGCGAAATATTCTCAAGCACGACGTTAAACCCAATTTCACCTCACCTCACCTAATCACGGAAACAAGCTCACTGTAACCATACACTTGGTACAGGCATGCAGTTGTTGAGGGGGCCAGGATCGTAGACATGTATTTTAAGTGTTGCTCGTTAAAAAAACAAATATGAGGGCTACAAAAGTGTGTGTGTTTGCTCAACTTTCAAATACTTAGACAAGACTGGAGACCGTGGTATGTAGCCGATAGAGCAAAATAAATAATAGGGTTTCGTTCAATCGTTCGCAATTTCGGGTTAAAATATGTCACTGAACATATCCCGAGGAACGAGTAGGAATATACTCCGAAACGTCGTGTTCCTCAAACTAAAAATGTTGACATCCATATGTACTCGCTTTTATGTGTAAATGCCGTTCAAAGACTCTGTGTGACCTGGGGTTTGCAATATTACTTTCCTTTAAGCTACAGTGGGCGGTGGGATAGCCTAGTGGTTAAAGCGTTCGCTCGTCACGCCGAAGACCCGGGTTCGATTCCCCACATGGGTACAATATGTGAAGCCCATATCTGGTTCCCCCGGAGCTGATATTGCTAAAAGCGGCGTTAAACCGCACTCACTCACTCAAAGCCACGGTACAGCGGGCTGGTTGATATTTTCAACGCCTGGGCTAATATTTTTTACAGAAGCTGTGATTTGATGACAACCCACATTTATGTTTGTTTCACGGAGGCAATTGAGCATGCTACTCAAATCACGAATTGATGTCTAAGAATAACCTGTACGATTCAGATCAATGCTGCTGGCAAAAACGGAGAGTATCTACTGCCATTTGAGCACTCTTGGAGTGTTTATGTTTACACTCATCAACAACTGTCTACTGTCTTTATCAGCCAGAGGAGCGGTGGGGAAGCCTTGTGGTTAAAGCGTTGGCTCGTCACGCCGAAGACCCGGGTTCGATTCCCCACATGGGTACAATGTGTGAAGCCCTTATCTGGTGTGCCCCGCCGTGATTTTGCTGGAATATTGCTAAAAGCGGCGTAAAACCTCACTCACTCACTCACTCACTATCAGTCAGAGGTTGCTAGGTGTTGCTGACAGTGCTAGGCGCTACCCTGTGGTCAAATGTGGTGTGTTACGTAGCCCAGTAGGAAATGTGTTTGATACTGACACTGTTGTGTCATTTAAAATTTCAGTCTTTATTCTTGTTTTCGTGTCACTTCTTACCTCCTTGCACTCAGATCATAATTTCGGCAAGGGCTCAACAGTGTTGTGACGAAGCCCGAAACATGGATATCTTAATATAAATTAGACCTACTTACTCTCTTCACCCATGTGACCCGAGATCAGGGTTAGAATTGGTCTTCAGTAACCCATGCTTGTCATAAGAGGCGACTAACGGGATCGGGTGGTCAGGCTCGCTGACTGGGTTGACACATACTATCGTACCCCAATTGCGTAGATTGATGTCCATGCTGTTGAGCCCTGGATTGTCTGGTCCAGACTCGATTACTTACAGACCGCCGCCATATAGCTGGAATATTGCTGAGTGCTGCGGCAAATAACAAAGTTTACCTCCATGCCATTTTCTTTTTTTCCGTATCTGCATAGTAGACATATTTTGCTAAATTAGCGAAAATGTTAAAGTTTGAAAAGTACATTAAAATGTTAAATGCGTGGATGTCAGGATGAAGATAAAACATACATTTACATTTTTATCCATTTTTTATATACAAATGTATGTATTTAACATTTTCCGTGAACTTTAAGATTTGTTTCCGATCTGTTTACCGTAATGCACGATTACTCCTAAGCACCTACTCTGCTACATTTGCTCTCATGGCATTTTAAAAGGCTTTTGTAATCACTGCATGATAAGGTAAAATAGATATTTTATCAGTTTTAATTTTGGAGAAAAAACGACACACATTTTAATACACACATCAGCACTGAATCAAATCAACTTGAATCCTCATATAGACTCGGTCGTTGTTGAGGCTTATGGATATTTAAACATGTATCTTGAGACCGACCTTGAACCCGTGAAGATCCAGGTTAGAATGGGTCTACAGCAACCCACGCTTGTTTGTCCTAAGAGGCGACGAACGGAATTGCATGGCACATGTCATCGTATTCCAAATTCGTATGTCGATGCTCATGCTGTTTATCACTGGATTGTCTGGTCCAAACTCGATTAATTACATACAGCTGGAATATTGCTGACTGCGGCGTCAAACAGCAAACCAACCAACCCAATCTGACTTATGGATATTTTAAGATGTATCTTCAGCCCGACCTTGAACTGACGAGACTCCATAAGCTCATCCGGGTTCTTGGACTGGAAACGGCGGCGTCTGGCACCAGGGGGGCGTTATGTACTGATCTGTGTGTTCCTGGTCTCTTTCGCCTGTACACAGCACCTGATATCCAAACTTGGTTTCACGATTAAGCTGAAACATATCTGGCGACTTGTTATCCTACCTGCAGACGGAATATAAGCTAAGAACGTGAGAACATTAGTATTTCATGCAGACAACATATCTCAACTTGAACGAAAATATAAAGCTTATGTACTGCCGTACTCTACAGTACATAGCTATACGTAGACGGAGTCGTGGTAGGTTTAATGGCAGTGTTTCATCTTAAGGTTGGGCGGTTTCTTAAGTGAATGTGTTTGTTTTACGCCGCACTCGGCAATATTCCAGCTGTATGGCTGAGTTTCTTAAGGCATACTTAAATGAATTAATTACAGTGTGAGGTTCATGTATATTATATTGATGAGTGTCTTTGTCATAACACAATTGGCGTCCAACCTAGCTTCAACACTTATTTGAAATTTACGTAATAGGCAGTGTGGACAAATAGTAGGGCTAAGACGATGCATCGAACTATCGATAGATTGCATTTGAACAAATTGTCGGCAGTGTGGACAGTCTCCGATATCAATTCGATTTGCACTTTGAACAAATTGTCAGAGTCTCCGATATCAAAAAATCGAAACAAAAAACTATCGATGCCTCGATAGTATGTGTAACTATTGATAGTTTAGTAACTGACTTCCGTTGATAAATGCACAGAGCAAAATTAAGGATGTTTGGGTGCAGACTTGCAGCTTCATTGAGTTTATGTTTTAACTGTTTACTTGATCTGAGTGTCAAGTTTCTTGTCAGTTATTAAACGAGACTGAAACTACTTCAGCTTGTCTTTATTTCATGTAAACTATACACTTGTTTTGGAAATGACTTCAAAGGAGGCAGTTCAAAGAGATTACTATCGGAATAGTATGTTGCAATAGACTATCGCTATCGAAATACATGTTTCCCCGCAACACATAGTCACCCCCAACAAATAGCATATCCTAAGTGAGTGAGTGAGTGAGTGAGTGAGTGAGTGCGTGAGTGAGTGAGTGAGTTGGGTTGGGGATGCATGGGTGGCCGGGATGAATAAGTGAGTGAATGAGTGATTTCGGATGGATGGTTGCCAGGTGTGTGTGAGTTAGTGAGTTGGGGAGAGAATGAGTGAGTGACTGAGTGAGCGAGTTGGGATGGATTGATGGATGGTCGGGAGGTGTGTGTGAGTGAGTGAGTATTAGTGCATGAACAGGAGAACTATACTCTCCCACTTTATTCCGATATATCTGCATAGATAATTGTTTCAATTCAACATTAAACGGCTGCAAATTGTGTCTCTTGACCTTATCTTGGCGTTCTGGTGAATGCCGATAGTTGGTCAGGTTTAACGATATCGATATTGGTCACAACAAGCTTTCAGTCACACGGAAACAGACCCCGTATACGTAGACATGTGAATATACTTAGGGAAAGAAATAAAGGAACACCTCTTGATTGCAGTGTTCCTTTATATATTCCCAGATGTTCACTCGCACGGCAGTACAAAGCTTGCAGTGAGTGAGTATGCTTTTACGCCGCATTTAGCAATATTCCAGCAATATCACGGCGAGGGACACCAGAAATGGGCTTCACACATTGTACCCATGTGGGGACTCAAACCCGGGTCTTCAGGCTACCCCACTGCCCTACAAAGCTTGCAAGGAATCCTGGAAAAGAATAAAGGAACATTTGTACTTTTATGTGTTCCTTTATTTGTTTCCCTCAGTATAGTATGCAGTGAGTGAGTGAGTTTGGTTTTTCGCCGCTTTTAGCAATTTTCCAGCAATATCACGGCGGTGGACACCAGAAATGGGC